GGACGTCCTAGCTTCCACAACAAACCACTGTCATACACTTATTAAACCAATATACCTCAAAACTTCGGTTTTTTCCCGGAGCGGAAATTCTTGTTTGTTACACGTTTTATAGTCAGGTGATCTCTACTGTTATTATTAATTATTATTATTATTATTATTATTATTACACTTGTATCCAAGCTTTCTTTCCAATAGGCACTAGGAGACTAAAATCAATTTAAGTACCTAAGTACTCTTTCATTCTTTGTTTTTTTTGCTTCTGATGTGCATAAATCCTAAAACAACTATGATATACATGGTGTCTATTTCAACGCGAAATCAACTTTTTTTTTCAAAAACGAAGGGTTATAGAAAAAAGGTTTAAATGGTAAACCCTTGGTTTTCCCAAGGATATAAAATAAGCTGGCAAAATATTTGTTTTTAGTATCTCATTAATACCTAATGGAATGTCAATTTTTCAAATGTCTAAATAAAGAAAAATAATAATTTGAACTTTTGTATATTTATTGCGATAATAATGAACAGTAAAAATTGAATATTGGCTTTTTATTATCTTCATAACATAAGAAAACAATTTGAACAATATAAAAAATTTAAAACACCACCAAGGTTTTGAATTGATAAATGTCTGCAGATACGCAACCAAAGTAATTGTTTTATATTATAAAAAAATCGTTTTGAAAATATATTAGCCCTTCGTAAATATTATTTTAAAAAATAAACTTTATACCCAATTACCTATTACTGTAATATAAAAACAAATATTTAAACCACATATATTAAATCGTCGGGAAAAATTATGAGGTTAGCATTTAATTTTTAATATCTGTTAACCCGAAAATTTAGTGTTGGTTGAAAGGGGAAACAATTGTTACAATTATATTAGCTTAGAAATATTTTATTCTGGGATATTGTCCTCATCGGGATCTATAAAATTCGCCCAACGTATTACAAGCCCCGTTATAAATGTTTCGGTCCCTGGACTTGAAAAATAAATTCTTATAATTTTCTAGCTGTTGGTGATTATTGATCTTCCGATTGCGCGGGTGATTGTCCGTGCAAAGAACAGGTGAAAGTCAGAGTGGAACTAGGTCTGGAAAGTACAGTGTGTGATAGGTCTTTCCAACCATCCGTATATGCTTGTCCAACTAGTGCGCGTTATAAAGAGCATCTCCGTGGACTTTCTTTGGCCAGTAGATGACCATGTGTCAGCCTGGTGTGTCCTATCCGGAGAGGAGTCAATGTGATTTTTTCACTTTATCCCGATGGTTGAATTCTATGTGATTTTTTAGGGACTTTGATTACCTGAGAAACGGTTTGAGAAAGAACGAGATCCAGGCTTTATGATATGCTTTTAAAACTGTAAAGCTCATTTTCAGGACAAATTTGTTTTGTTTAATTGCAAAGCTAGCCGGCGGGTTATTTCTACATAAATCCAAAAGTCTTTCGATCTCAACCCCACCTTTTGAATTTTCCCTCGTTTTTGCCATTTTTTATTACAATACAACCTCGTTCCTCTTATTGGCAAACCGTGATTGCCAATTGAGGAAAATCCATGACAATTCATATTAAATTTGCTCACTGTTTACGAAATTGTTCATAAAAGAAGAATCCTTCTGTTCTTTTTATAGAAAGAAGTTTTTATAATCCTATTCTATAGGTTATATTCTACGAATAAACAAGGAAAAATTCCAAAATTATCCATTAATCGTATAAAACAGGTCTATTGAGAAAAAATTAACATTCTTTTCGTTTTAATGGTTTCTTTTGTCGGCCCTAGGGAAACGGGGCTGCGATGAAATCTTCCCACCTGCCATTCCGCCAGACCGACCTAGTTATTTTAATATTTCAAATCATGCATAATTCATTTCAAAGTGGCACAACGTGGGTTCCTTTGGTCGTGTTCGGTGTCTCATTTGGGACTTATATGCGAATTCGAATTTTTTCATGTACTCTTTTTACAATAGTAAGTGAAAAATAGATGTAATGTTTAAAAAACAGCAACATTTTTTTATGGATCTGCCAAGCTACGCAATTATGCAGGATGGAAAATGAACACTACTGTACAAGGGGATGGATACTGGGGCCATTCAGGAAAAAGAATTTTAATGGATGAAAACGTGATTTTTTAATATAGTCAAACATCCTTAAAAATGTCCTGACACGTTCTCCTTGATCCGTCTGCAAGTTCTTCTGAATAACAATAAATCGCGTTCTGAAGTTTTTCAAAACTGGACTTGGAACGAATAAGAATAACTAGCTGCAAGATAGCTCCTGAGGGTTCTAAAAATTACGAATTTATAATAAATTTAAAAAATGTATTACAATAAATTCCTCCAGAACTGTAATAACAATGGCCCAATGAAAATATCTAATTAAATTCACTAATTTCGTGGTCCGCTTGACCAATTAATAAATTATAATTAATTAAGGTTTTTCGTTGAGATAAAAAAGTCAATGGCACGAGGGGGATTCGAACCCACGATCTTCGGCTTGATACGCCGCTGCTCTACCAGTTGAGAGCACTATATCCACTCGGACATTGAAAAATGGCAAAAAGGAGGGAAAATTCCAAAGGTAGGGTTGAGATGGGAAGTTAGTGTCCGAGTGGATCGAGGTCACGATAGCTCAAGTGGTAGAGCATGACATTCCACGTCAGGAAAATGGCAAAAAGGAGGGAAAATTCAAAAGGTGTGAAAGTTCTGATTACAGATAAGCGAACTGATTTCTATAATATGCTCAAAGTTACTTACTTAATTACTTTGAATGACCGATAAAATGAAAAAGAATTAAACATCTTTACACACACGATAGCTCAAGTGGTAGAGCAGCGGCGTATCAAGCCGAAGATCGTTGGTTCGAATCCCGCTCGGCCATTGACGTTTTTATCTCAACTAAAAGCCTTAATTAATTATAATATCTAATTAAATTTGTATTCCACAGGAAGAAGAAATAAATATTTTGAAGAGGGAAGAACAATAATATGAAAATGGCCGGATTGTTATTTAATCACGTTTTCTTCAATCATTTTGTTATATAATTATCTTTACCAGTTTAAAAAATAATTACTGAGATTTTTGTTGAGGTTTTGTTGTTACAATTTTACAGAAGATTTTTAACATTGGCAATCAGGAAGATTTTTGTTCTTTAGCTATTGGAACGAATTCTTACAAAGTTGATGTCAGTTTAAACTTTCAGCGATCTTGCTTTAAATATTACTACTGTAAATAACAAAAACACGCTGTATTACGTTATTTGTTGTTAACGTCGAGAAAAAATATTTTATGAAACTTTCAAGCTGTAAGTGTATTAAAATTACCAGATCGAAGGTTGTACGGACGTATATGGTTCTATTTATTATTAAATTTTATTAATGATTTAGTTTATTTGTCGTAGCCCAAACGGTTCCATAACCACAACATTGTGTACGCGAAACTAAAGTAAATTTCAATATTTACCAAAATAATAAATTGATAAAGAATATACAAAAATTATTTATTGGGTTGTCCGGAAAATAATGCAGGATTTTGGTATTAACCAAAAAAAAAGAAACTAGTTACTTTAAAGCAATGTTCTTTAATCAAAATAATTTCCCATACTCTCAATACATTTCTCCCANTCCTTAGGGAGGGCCGGATTGGCGCTGGGGACGGTGCTTCGGGTGGGGCACCGGCCGACACCCCCTTGGACCTTTCCGGTCGTACTCGTCCGCGACGTTCTGGCGAACTTGCCTAAATCGTGAACACCGCCATACCTCTACAAGGCTAAGTTCCTTGAACTTAGAAATAGATACACCGGTTTTCTTCTGATTTTTACAGACGGGTCCAAGACCGGCGATGGTGTGCTGTGTATAGCGAGGGAGTAGCCACCTTCTGGTCGTTGCCCCCTCACTGCAGCGTATACACGGCAGAGCTGTATGCGATTTGGCACGCTCTCGAGGCGGTGCGGACCGGGGAGGGCTCAGCCTTCCTCGCATGTATCGACTCTCTGAGCGCTGTCTGGGCTATACTCGACAGGTTCTCTGTGGACCCTCTCGTCGTGCTCTTGTTAGAGAAATACGCGGAGCTGGAGCCTCTCGGAAAAACGGTGGTTGTTGTCTGGATTCCCGGACACGTCGGCCTGGAGGGTAACGAACGCGCGGACAAGGCGGCGAAAGCCGGTACGTCCCACCCTCCAGATCGGACCATCGCGATCAGGCCTCCTGACGCTAAACACGCAGTTAAAAATATGATAAAAGAAGGATGGCAGCGTCAGTGGGCGGGGTCGTCTGAGAGGCTCTTGCGAGTCAAGAGCACGACCGGTAGATGGCCCTCAGAGAATCTGAGCAGGAGACGAGGGATCGTCCTCACCCGACTGAGGATTGGCCATACTCGGTTGACACATGGGCACCTGCTTTTGGGCCAAAGCCCGCGTAGGTGCCACTTATGCAGAGAAAGGTTGCTCGATGTGTCCCACATAATAGAGGCGTGTCATGCCTTGGCTCCATACAGAGAGCGTGTAGGCATGCCGCCGGATTTAAGAAGAGTCCTCGAGCACGGTAGCGAGTTTCAGAGTCCCCTGTTCCGCTTTTTAGGGGAAATTCGAGTGTTTTTTATTGTATATAGTATGTCTTATGTGTTATGTGTCTGTGTGCATGTATTTATTAGCGTGGATGGCGAGGGGTGAGGGTGAATATAACGTCATCATCGCCCCTCGAACGGTGAAAGCGAGTGAGTGTGTGTTCGGGGTCGATGGCGGAATATTGATAAAAGTACCCCATCGACCCCAATCTAGTTTAGTTTAAGTGTAGGTCGGTGGAGGAATATCAAGTACTCCACCCACCAAACGGAATGAGTGTACTGTATGGATGTATTTAAGTGTATGAATGTATTTATTTGTATGAATGTTGTGTTTGAACGGGTATAGAATATAGAATATAGACTTAGTGGGGGGGCTGAAATGACCTAGATGTCGGAAGCCCCAGCAAAAAAATAATAATAATAATAATAAAATTTACTCACTCGTGCTGTCTACATAAATTGGAGTCCATAATGCCTGGGTTGAAGCGAGTTTTACACTTGTGCACAGGATTGCCAAAAGTGAAAGCATTCTCATCTGAAACACAGTAGACGTAAATTATTAAATAAAAAAACTGTTCGCAAATATACCAATTTTTAAACTAATAACTAGACCAAAAAGAAAAAATATGTCTACGTTAAAAATTATTTAATTATTATTTAAGTGATACATTTGATATTCATGCAGTGTATTGTAACGTTTTAGTCCAAAATATATGGCATACTTGAAGATTTTTATTACATATAAATCTGGGGTCTACTAGAGAATTTTTATCTGAAACATGTTAGCCGTATTTTGTTAAAATAAAAAACTGTTTGCAACGTTTAATTTTACACGTAAAATTTAAAATATTCCCATTTCTTTTTAACTGATACTAGTCTAAAAAGAAAATATATACATATCTAGGTTTAAAAAAAGTTAAATATTATTCGAGTCACTGACATTGAGGATGCGTATTTTAATATTTTTAGTCCAAATTATATGGCATATTTACAGAATTTTATTGCATATTAAATAAAATAAATGAGGTTTTGTTAGAGCATGTTATATACGATATTTAAGGATTTGTTTTCCATATAAAACCGCATTCTTCTTTTCAACAGTAAAATAAACGTTTGATTTCAGACTTGGAAGGTTCTATTAAAATAAGTGTGTAGTATTTAGTTACCGTTAATTAATGGTTAATTGGAGATCATGGGATGCGATCTTGTGTGACGTAGGTTTAGAAAAACATTTTCTTTATTGTGCCAACGTTTTGATCTCTATTTAGATAATCTTCAGGGCTCAAAGTGTGTGTTTTCTGTGTAGATGTGTCACGGTTGTGCGTCGTGTCGCGAAGGTGCGAAAAAGCAAACATTTTCGAAAAAATATGTAGAGAAAAATCGAAATCTAAAGGTGTAGAGAAAAATATCAGGCTTGCATCGGCGAATATTTTGAACAATTATCTTAATTTGTTGAAGCTTTTTCTTTATTCTAATTTTTCATTTTGCGCCAAAGATTATTTTTGTTTTCTTTCCATTACAATTCATTGATGTAGTCTAATAAGTTGAATTTATGAAGTTTTTATTAATTTCAAACAGGAGGTTTTGATAATGAGTCGAAAGTCTGAATCTATTCTTCAAAGAAATTTGAAACCATTCATTAACAACTTAATTATGTAAATTTATAGACATCTTTAATATAGGTTTCTTAGATCTATATTGTTAGATTGCTTGTTCTATTAACACTAATAATTAATATTTTTTCATAGATGGTAATTAATATAGGCTCTGATGATGACCTTAAAATAGGTTGAAATCTTGGCAGAAATAATTGAATGTTTTTTCATACAGACCATACAGAGATCGTTATACCTGTGTAGTCAAATATACAGTAAGAAAAATATTTTATTTGATATACAGGCTTTATGGAAAAATGTTGTGAAACTTTGAAGTTACTTGAAAAGGGAAATATCTTGATTACAATTGAAAATCAAACTTTGGACTTTTTAGTCCAATATAAGTTTTTGTATATCCACTAATTTCGTGGTCCGCTTGACCAATTAATATATTACAATTAATTAAGGTTTTTAGTTGAGATAAAAAAGTCAATGGCACGAGCGGGATTCGAACCCACGATCTTCGGCTAGATACGCCGCTGCTCTACCACTTGAGCTATCGTGACCTCGATCCACTCGGACACCAACTTCCCATCTCAACCCCACCTTTTGAATTTTCCCTCCTTTTTGCCATTTTTCAATGTCCGAGTGGATCGAGGTCACGATAGCTCAAGTGGTAGAGCAGCGGCGTATCTAGCCGAAGATCGTGGGTTCGAATCCCGCTCTTGCCATTGACTTTTTTATCTCAACTAAAAACCTTAATTTTTTTGTATATCCTTGCGAAGTGTTAACGTATGTTCAACGGACATTGTGTATATTTGTTGAAATTATTCATCGATAGTAAGAAAATGTATCACTTCGATGAAATCAAATTAAACTTTAAAAAAGTCAGATTTTTATTTTTTAAGGATGTAGATATTTGGAACGTTTGCTTAAAATTTTTGTTATTTATTATTTAGAATTCTTAGAATTTCTTAATTTAGTCATTTTGTTTTTTCTTGTTTGAAGTTATATAGTACCGGATAGTAATTTTTGTTTAGCTTGTTCTTATTTTCACCATTTTTCTAATCTTTTTTAACTCGAAACATGTTTACTCAGATATTTACGAAGTATTTTTATTGTGGAATTTTTATGACGTTGAAATGTGTATCAAAACCATACTTTATCGATTTTTTCTGACAAATACGACAATTCTGATCTATCTTTACTAGACATTAGGTTCTTATTAACAACCGTAATAGCTTAATAAAGGAACGGATTTTTTTCTATCACGTTAAGAAATGTTGACCAAAAACTTGTAGCGTGTTCGTTAGAAATTTGATTAATTACCGTCTTTATCTTCCATTCAGTCGCGGCCTCGCTTCTTTGTTCTTGTAAGAACTCCATGGAAAGAGTTTTTCAGGTTCATACGTTCAATACTGAAGATGAAGACAAAGATGATTATGTAGGCTTTGAAAGGGTTTGTAACATTTCATTTCTAACAGAAGAAAACACCCAAATAAAACTAGGGCATTTAATGGTTCGAGAAGCTTCGGCGTGTCGAGTCTTAATTTGACGGAAATTTAGGTTTACAAATTCATAAAATTTCTTATGCTTAGTTGATTCTTTAAAATTTGCCACCGACCAGTGTTACCTGGATCAAGAGAAATGCCAAACCTTCATTTAATTCTCCCAAGAGGACAATTTATCTAAGCATGCTATGCAATTTTTTTATTACAAATAATGAAAGAAAAACTCAATAAACCAGAGGGAACGTTCATTTGTTTATTTCGTGATATGGCATATGATCCAGGTTCGCTTTTGATATGCTGAATTACAAATGTAAATTAAAATAGTTTCCTCTTCCTTTACACTGACATTGACATAATTTTACATATCCTCATCAAGAATAATAAGTTAAATTATTTATAGAACGTCATCAGTCGATCCACATAGTAAGGTATTTCAATACAATTAATTTATTCGCTTACATCGTAAAGTTTCAAAACGCAGGGACCGAAGTGTGATGGCTACGTTTGTTCAATTAAATCTGCGTACATTTGCACAGATAATGGCATTTCTAAACAATGTGGAATTTATTATGTAATCTCTCAGTACTCCACACCATGTATTTACAGACCGGAAGCGCCCAAAGTTAGCGGCTCTAAACCCCGTATAGAAATTTTCAATTGCTCAATGATGTATTCATTTCTATTTAGGAAATTAAAAGAAGAATTTAATTTTTGGCCTTTCTTAGTCAAAAGTGTATGTGCTTTCTGTATAAGCATCAAACTGTAATATTTTATTATATCAACATTATATGTAGGTCAGTAACGATGTTCAAAGGATGGCCAAAAAATTGCATTATTCGGTAGGTTTTTCTGAAAATCTATTTTGTCTATTACAACCAATCTTTTTTATTATAATTGGATTGGTATACTAATAATTCGAAGGAAAAGGTTTTATTAAAAAAATCTTCGTTTCCTTTTCGGTTTAAGCATCAAACTCTAAAATTTTCATGCATTTCAGCAATTCCTTTAGGCCATTTAAATGTTTAAAGAATGGCTATAATGTTGTCATTTTTGGTTAGGATTTTCTCAAAATCTATTTAATCTATTACAGCACATTTTTTAATATTATATATTTGTATTTGAATACTGATAATTTGTAAACGCAGTTGTTATTAAAACAATGGTTAAGTTTTGGCACCAACTGTAATTAGGCTGATTTTCGGAAGAAGTGATATTTTTGGTTCAGAAATACCGTAGGGAAGCCATGTGGAAAGACGAAAAACATGTTGCCCGCCAAAATCAAAATTTCCAATAGCATTTTGCGTTTGAAACGTTTCTGAACAAGTTTCTTTCTTTTTGTATTTATATGAAATTTTCAAGGATTGAATGATGTGTCATCTAGTAAGCCCCAATGGCAATCGGATTGACGGTAGTGCCGGGTAGATGGGTAGATGATGTAGATGTAGATGTAATTTTTCCAGGGTATGGTATACTGCGCCCTTTAAGAGCTATTGTATCTGCCTAAAGCACATCGGTGAGTCCTATTTCATCAAGAAATTTGATTAATAGGCCCGGTTTCAGTGGTTGAAGCTCTTCTATGGTCACATTATACATCCCAAAACATTTCCTCCTGCGGGCCAACTTAGCTCCGCAGTTTGTTAGTAAATGTGTTGGTGTCTCTTCTGCCTCCTTGCAGAATCTACATGTGCCATCTTGGATTGTTCCAATTTTCTGTCCGTTTAGTCTGCAGTGTCCTGTTAGGAATCCTGTTAGGATTCTTGCTTCCTTTGACACATTCTGTGATTTCTTTCTTACCAAAATTGGTTAGAAGATTCTTGGATTGCTTATGTCCAATGAGTGAATTACATCGTTCCTTCATTTTTGTTTTGTCCTTCTGTCTGAGATATTCGTTAATAGTGTGGATTCCTATGCCACAGAAGGGTTCGGATCCTATCAGCGGTGTAGCAGCCCATTTCCTTGCAAGGGTGTCCGCTTTCTCGTTGCCTTCTACTCCCATGTGTCCTCGGACCCAGCAGAGGCTGACTTTATTCTGCATACCTAATATGTTTAATTTGGTTTTGCAGTTCAGCACCATCCTTGAGTTTAGTGCTTTGTTGGCTGCTTGGCTATCTGACATGATAGCTATATTATTGTTTTTGTACCCTTTACATAGATTGAATTGGGTACATCTTTCAATTGCATGAATCTCAGCTTGGAAGATACTGGTGTGTTTTCCCATGGGTTCTGAGTATTTGGTTCCGGATCCAAATACTCCTACCCCCGTACCTTCTTGTGTTCTAGATCCATCTATGTACCAGAGGATGGTGCCATTTTTGAAGGAGTTATTTCCTTTTCTTTCCCACTCTTTTTTGGTACCCAGATATAGTCGGAATTTTTGGATAATTCAAACATCCTGTTCATGACGTCTCTTGGAGCCATGAGTGATGGTCTTTCCATAGTTTGTTACTGTCTCTCCATTTCAGTTTTATTCCTGTTGGAGGTTTCTCTCTGATAAAGTTGATGATGGTTTTCTGTGCTGTCCTTTCTACCATGTGATGTAGGAGAATTAATCCTGGTATCTTTTCCATGCTAATTGTAGGACATGTTCTCATTGCTCCCGTTACGCAGATGCACGCAAGTCTCTGTATTTTTGTTCGTTCTTTCCTTTTGGTTATTTGTTCTGCTTTATCATCCCAGGCTATAGCTCCGTATGTAAGTAAAGGTCTTACCATCATGGTGTACATCCATAACAGGGTTTCTGGTCTGCATCCCCAGTTTCTTCCTGCTATTCTTCTGCACACCATCAAAGCTCGTGTCGCCATTGTGATGATAGAGCTGATGTGTTTCTTAAATGTTAGTATTTTATCTAGTGTGATGCCCAGATATTTGAATTCATTTTTGATTTCTATCACAGTGTTATTGAGTGTTATTTCCCTCATGCGATCAAGTTTCCTTTTCCGTGGAAAAGTGACTGTAGTTGTAATGTTTGGATTGATCTAGTGCATGGGTTTGCGCAAATGTAAAATCCCGTAGACGTATCTCATTAAATATTATTCCGTTGCCTTGAATTTTTGTGGTATATTTGTACTGGGATATGACGCATGCCGTATAAACTATTTTGTCTCTAGGGACATAACATGAAACATAACAATTTCATTGATTTCGCGGTAATGGTTTGATTGCGCATGGTAAAAATGTGAGGAAGCTGTGCTGCCCACCTTGGCAAACTTTTTTCATATGTTTTCGTTTTACCCCATCTCTACCAAATGGATTTCAATTTTGACACGCATCAATTTTTCAGAGGGGTTTGTACTTTCGATTTAAGCATCAAACTCTAAAATTTTAAATGTTCTAGTAGACAGATGCTTAATTAAAATAAGTATAATAAGGTAAAGTTTTTGGATCAACGAAATTTCATTGATTTTCATACGAAGTGCTCCTTTTATTCTATGTTTTTGTTTAAAGCTATCTCTAACAAATGCATTTTAATTTTAAATAACTACAGAAAAATTTAACAAGGCTCTTTAAGGTAGAGGCTACACAATTAAAAACATTAATCAAAGTGAGAAAAAATTAAATTAGATTAACTCGGAAACACGATAAAGCTAGTAGGATTAGCACAAATGATAAAAGTTAACTTGCGAGTCCGGAGGTTTTTATTTCAAAGAAGATAAGAAGTTGGAGATCATTTAACACTTTTTCTCCTCTTAATTTGTAAACAGGACTTAATCTCGTTAGAATATGGAAAAAACCGTCAGATTGTTAAACAGTCTAATACTCGCTAATTAATGTTAAGGTGTAAATTACTTTGACATAAAGTGTTCGGATTACGACATGTTAACTGTGTTTTCTCACTTTTGCGTGAATGACATGAAAGATGAATGACTTGATTTCACTCCTTAAGTTATTGTGGCTAGGTTATTAATATTTACTTCCTTAAATTCACTAATTTCGTGGTCCGCTTGACCAGTTAATACTATACAATTAATTAAGGTTTTTAGTTGAGATGAAAAAAAGCTCATTATGAGTTTTCCCTCCTTTTGCCATTTTTCAACTCATAAGGTGGGGTTGAGATGGGGAGTTGATGTCCGAGTGGATCGAGGTCACGATAGCTCAGGTGGAAGAGCAGCGGGCGTATCAAGCCGAAGGTCGTGGGTTCGAATCCCTCTCGTGCCATTAGCTTTTTTTCATCTCAACTAAAAACCTTAATTAATTGTATATTAATATTTACATTGCTTAAATTCCTCCAACATGCATAAAAGTGTCATTGAAAAGAGAGATCTAGTCAGAAATAAAACTAAATAAATGGAGAGAAAACGAAAAAAACAAAGAAGAGAGAGAGAGAGATGGAGTGAGAGAGAGAGAGAGAGAGGGAGAGAGAGAGAAAGAAAGAGAGATTGATTGATTGATATCGCTTTATTTACATAATCTCTCAAGATTTGGTCTCGAGGACTAAAGTGAAGAGAGCGAGAGCGCGCGCGCGCGATAGAGAGAGGGGTGGGAGGGAGGGAGAGAGAGAGAAAGAAAGAGAGAGAGAGAGAGAGAAAGAAAGAAAGAAAGAGAGCGAGCGAGAGAGAGAGAGTGAGTGAGAGATTGTAAGATGTGTATATGCATGGTGGATAACGTGGAATGATGAATAGATGTATATATTGTATGTATATATATATATATATATATGTGTGTGTGTGTGTGTGTGTGTGTGTGTGTGTGTGTGTGTGTGTGTGTGTGTGTGTGTGTGTGTGTGTGTGTGTGTAAATGAATAGATGGATGTAGATATATGTACTATGACCATTTTGAGGTTTGTCATATTAATATAATCAGCGACATCCATTACAACATCGAAAATAAGGGCGCACCAATGAGAAAATGCGGCAAAACGTCGTAGTCATCAGGACC